CCTCTCTCTCTCTCTCTCTCTCTCACACACACACACACACACACACACACACACACACACACACACACACACACACACCGCCTCATCCTCCCTCCCAGTGCTTCCCACTGCCCCGCCGCCTAACAGCTGTTTGGTGCTTAGGACTTCCGGTGAGGGAAGGGGAGGAGTGGGGATACGATGCGTTCAGGGGAGGAGGCGGAGAAGAGGTGGGGCGGGGACTTGGGGGAAGAGGGTGGAATGGGGGTGGGGTGGTGCAGGGGCAGGGCCAGGAGTTGTGGGGGTCGAGCACCCACTAGGAACAAGGGAAGTTGGCGCATGTGTGTGTACAGGGGATGAAATGACACAGGGACGTCGACATGATGTGAGTTTTCATGTACTGTGAACTGTTATGGCTAGAAACAGATGCTAGTTATCCTTAGAAACCTGGAATTCTTAGTCCTTCTAGTTCACAATATATCTAACAGTAACAGTAAAAGTAGACACTGTTTTTTCAGATCAAAAGTGCCATTTTGACAGTGGTCCAGGCCTTGAAGTCCTATACTTCAGGCTGATATAACTCACATCTTGCAGTATCCAATAGGAGTCTGAGGATATATGTACATTTCCAACCGTGAGACTTTTCCACTAGTAGTGACCATGTGGAAACCTCTTTCAGAGTGTCATGGGGAATGCAAGCACCCTCATGTGACACTCAGTGCATTCTCCAGTCACCTTAGTTCCCTTGCTCCCTCTTTAGCAAACACAAAGGGCCCTCTCTTGTAGCTGTCAGACTTCTAAACTTTAATACAGAAATATTTTCTCAAATAAATAGTCCTTAGATCAGTAGTATAGTTTAGGTATAGAGAGAACTTACATTCCCTTTTTTCCCATCTGCCTCAGGATCTTTGGGAACAATACCTGGCCCTGATCCTCAAACTGGGTTTAAGAAACATGCTGTGTCTATTCCTGAATTTGATGTCCAGGACAGAAGTTTAATCTGCCTGTGGAGAGCACACCCAATACTAGTGCACTGTGTGACAAATACTTGTCCCTTGAAGTTCATGGGAATGTCGCATACAATTTCAAGTGCATTTCAGAGCCTATGGGTAGATGGTAATGCCCCAAGTCTGAATTCAGGCTAGAACAGGGGTAGCCAATTTGAGCCTGAGAAGGAGCCAGAATTTACCAATGTACATTGCCAAAGAGCCACAGTAATATGTAATGGATGGGTGTGTGTCTGTGTGTACACACATCATCATATAATTTGATAGTGTGTATTTTATACGTAGATAGTCAACGATAATAATAAAAACTTATCCTTTTATTTAGTGGGACTTCTGGCAATCCTTGCTTTCAACAATTCCCTTAAAGTTTGGTTTGTGTTTACTTGTGCTCACACGCAGCAGTTCTCTTAAGTGGCTGTCTGTCAAAATGGTTCGGTGCTTGGACATGTTTGAGTGTTGAGAAAACAGACTCACAAAGATAGGTCGAGGCAAACATCGAGATTAATTTTAGGGCTGCACCTTTGATGTTGGGGTATTTGTCCTTTGGTACAGATTTCCAGAAAGTAAGGATGCCCCTGTATCTTCTGAACAGATTTCAATCTGTCATTTTCCAAAAGTTCTGTTATTTCCATCTGGGAAGTTGCTTCATCAGTGACTAAAGGGAGTTCAGACAGTCGGCTTCAGCACTAAAAGGGTCAATCGGAAATGTGAATTGAGGTCTTTTCCGCTGCAAATCTTGGAATCTTTCCTAAAAACTATTCTTAAGATCTTTAATCATGCTCACATATCTAGTTGTGCTCCATTTTAGGGGTTCTGCTGCATCTTCTTTTGATCTGGCTTGAAGTTGTGACATTGAGGGAAAGCGTAAGCTCTCCCTCAAGCATTTGTCTGTGAAACAACTGCAGTTAGTTCATGAACGCAAATTCACTTTGCACTGGATCAGACAGCAGCTGGAATTTTCCTTGTAAGTCCACTCTTAGTTTATCCAAATGCAGCAGCGTGTCTGCAAGAAATGCCAAATCTAGAACCCACCCAGGATCTGTAAGCTTGGAGTGTATTCTGTGCTTCTCCTCCATAAATAATTTTACTGGTTCCAGGAGCTTGAAAAAATGGGAAATAACTTCATCTCTCAAGAGCCATCAAACTGCGCAGTGAAATGGCAAATAAGCGGGGGGAGTCCTCTTCATTCAGTTCTTCAATTAGATTTTGAAACTGTCTGTGATTGAGTGTGTTTGTGAATTTCATTCGCTCAATGTGCAAGACAGGTTTCATGACGTGATCAAACTTGAGGTGTGTTTTGTTTTTTTTAAAGATACCAGTTGCTCTCAATGAATAATACAGAATTCCACCAGGAGTAACATTTGCACCAATGTAGGTCTGTGGTGAAAGAAATTGGAAGCATCTAGATATTGAGAATTATTTTAACCATAATTAACCTCTAACTCCACAGGGATATATAGACATGGGATGATAAATTCTTGAGGATACACTGTATCAATGTTTCTTTAATTGAAGCTGGTAGCCTGCCTTCTTTAAGGGAAGCATTGACAATCCCCATTAGCAGTGGGTCCATTACATCTCCACTGACCATCAGTCATGGCCCAAGTTGCAGCACAAAGTAAAGCATTTGTTTCCTCCTTCTAAGATGTTGCCCTGCCTTTACAAATGGAGACAGTTAGATCCAAATCTGTACATGCTTTATCATTAAATCACAATTTCCTCCAAACAGAAAGTACTCAAATCATTCACCAAGTAGAACTAGCTTTGGCTATCTATGACATGAAACAATTCCGCAGATTAAAATTTGGCAGATGTTACTGTGGAGTAAACAAATCTGTCCTTCCACATAGTAAGTCTTGGGTGCATTGGGGTGACTTAAATCAGAACTGGTTTTATTCTTCTGCTGTTCAGGATCTTGTACAAGATGGACATGCTATATTCAATCCAATTTTAAGGGAGGGGGACTTGTACCTCTGGTGAGACTCGCTCCACCCTTCCGACCTTGGTTCATGCTCCACTGAATATGGATGTTAACAGCTGGATGCCATACAGTTTTGTTCCACTGGTTTTTGATAGCCCAGTCTTTAATCAAATCCTAAATGGTGGAAACCTTGACTTGGACTTTGTTAATCAATATGAACTGGAGACTGGAATTCTTGTTTTCTGATACTCCAGGCTTTTGCAAGATGATTATTATAGGTAAAATCAGTGGAACTAAAATCAGGAACAGGGTGTTTGTTTAAAATGCCTGAATCTCTTCCTGCTTTGTTTCCCCCCTACGCACTCCCACAGAAACATTCCCAAAATGTAGCAGTATTGGTCTACTGTCGTCTTCACCCTGAGGTGACCAGTGGGATGCATTTCCAGGATATGCAACAGTGGTAGTTTTCAGGCAGTAACTATCCCACTCAACAATTGTCCCTGATCCCAACATCCCTGCAAAGAGAACTGCCCCTGCCCCCCCCTTCCCCCCGATCCCTGTGCATCTTCCCAGGAAATAAAATGAAGGTACATGCCCACACAATCATGACTCTGCCTGCTCTGTGTTGCTTCAGTACACCCATACTTGCACTCTGCCTCTGCATTGTTCTGAACAGGAGCTACTTACACCAGTCGTACGCTTAAATAATTAGCCTACTCCACAGAATGAATACCATAGCTACTACTAAATTTTACAGCCTCTTTGCCCTTATGTGCATGATGCCACTTAGCATTATACTTTCACTTGCCCATCGTTAAGCAGACAACACTCCTCTCTAACCCATCTGTCTACAGTCCCCATGGCAAGAAGACCCCTGTTGGCCAGCTACTGGCACAACAAACATCATAGCATTGAAATGAGGCATATTGGCTCTTTCAAGGTAATGTGCAGCTTTTTCCTTTGATCTCTCACCTGGGGTTCAGGAGAAAAGCTCAGTGCCCTCCAGAGAGGCATGGTCCCTCCATCACAGTGCTGTTTAGAAGACCTGTGATTAGCTAATGCCTCTACCATTCGGCATAACTCCACCTAACACTGGATGCAGCTGCAGTAATTCTTGGTAGTTATTGCCAGCTCTAAGGGGGCAGAGTTAAGGTTGCATCACCATCTATATTTGAACTGTTTCTTGGCTTTCGAAAGTTTTGTGTTTTGATTAACTAAGTGTTCTAGAAGGGCACAAGATACTACTAGGTAGCATTAACTCTTTGTTAATGATGTTTTTTGTCAGTGAATAATTGGGAATCTATAAACTCTCTTCCACATCAAAATCCATCCACACTCCTACTTGCCGTTCCTGTACCATGGGAATACTGTAGCTACACCCAATCATATTACTTTCCAAAAACCTATTTTGTATTCTGGCAGCACCCTTACTGATATGCAATGTCCAAACACATGCAGGCACTTCCCTGACTATCTAAGAGAAACAACGTACAAAGTGTCAAAGGAGCAGAATTAAACAGAATTGTAATTAGTGGTCTGATCGGTGTTTTGTCACTGAAGGATCTGATGAATTATTTTTTATTAGTCTATTTTGATGGACTACTCTGTTTTAAAAGCACTTTCAGTAGTATAATCTGACCCTCCTTTTTTTTTTCTAGAAATGTTATGAACAAAAACAATACAAAAATGGGCTCAAGTTTTGCAAGATGATCCTCTCCAACCCGAAGTTTGCTGAACATGGAGGTAATTGCTTGAAAGACTTATTCTCATTCTTATTTTTCACCTGCTGTAAGTTACAACATCACTGCTTGTATTTAGTTGTATTCCTTAATTAAGCATTATATTGCTGATACCATGAATTATGACATGAAAGGCGGAACCCAAAAGTCCATGTTTTGGCATGCATCGTAGAAACTAGAGGTGTAGAAGATATGTTGGTTCATCTGCTCCATGCTTGTCATAGATCAATAATTCCATACAGTAGGAAAAAGTCTGTAATTGTAGGTGTGCTACATGATGGAACTACTCCTGTTTGCCTTGAGAAAGAACACTGTTCTTTTCTCCCTCCTCTTTCCCCCCCCCCCCATGATCCCCTAAAATTCAACGCAACTTTTCCTTTTCTTCGTTTTAGGCTATTAGTACCGTTAAACCCACCCAGATAAATTTCTTTTAAGTACTTACACCCTTCAGTATTTGCAGCCTGCTGTTATATCTGTGTCTTAGTTGTCTTTGCATATATATGTATATTTTTTTATTTTCCATCATCTCAGCTCCTCCTAGTGATAAATTTTGTTCCCTAAACTCCCTCAAATGTGACCGCATCTTCCATGTAACTTGGTGTGCAGTCCTAAATGCATTATTCCTGTCTCAGTCACAGCAAAGCTTTACAGAGAGATCTGTTGTCTTCCCAGCTCCATGGCATGATGCATTTGTATTTGAAGCACAAAATCACACCTGTCTTTTATAGTAATCTCTCATTATAAATTTGTTTCTTTATTTCTTGTCCATGGTTGCCACTCTTGGTCTCTCTTCTTACTGGTTCTCAGGTTTCTTCTTTTCACTGATTGTGATTATCATTGTCCTAGAACAGTGGTCTTCAACCTGTGGTTCATGGACCCCTGGAAGTTGCAGACTATGTTGAGCAAAAAGTTATCGTTACCACAGAATGGTGGTGGTTCTTTGAGTACTTGCACATGTCCATTCCAATGTAGAGGGGTGGGTGTGTGTGTGTGCTCTGAGCACAGTTACTGGAAAATTTTCCCATGGTGAGATCTGATGGGTTGGCTCTGGCACCCTCTGGGGCTGCACATCCATAGCGCCAGTATAAAGGGCACTGCTGACCCCATGCCCCCTCAGTTCCTTCTTACCGCCCATGATGGTCGCTGGAAATAGTCTATGCTGGCTCTTGCAAGTCTTCCTCTGTGGACTTTTTCTCTGTATTTCTGTACATAATTCTTGTTCATAGTTGGTTAAGTTTCTTTTAGAGTTAGTTTTCCTCCATTATCAGCAGCGTTTTCTCCATTCTGGTACCAAGGCCTGCCTCGGTTACCGGGCTTTAAGCCATATGCCTCCTGCAGAAAGGCTATACCTCTGAATGACCCACAGTCGGGTTGCCTTAAGTGCTTGGTGAAAACTCACATTTGGAAGTGCTGCAAGATTTGCAGGGACTTCAAACCCCGTACTAAAAAGGATCAGGATGCTAGGCTGAAGTCCATCTTGATGGAAGCAGCACTCAGACCTTCCCCCCCCCCCCCCCGACCCTGGGCCATTCAGACTCCGCACCGAGCACCTCAGTGTCAGTGAGGCGCATGCCTGCCACTGTCTGGGAATCTTGGCACTGTTCACCATCTCCAGTGCCAAGGAAGAAACAAAGACGATGCCTGCCGAGTGAGGATGTTCCCCAACCCTGAAGATGGCCAGGCATGGAGACTAGAGCAAAGTGCAACCCACGTCGGGCCACTCCGGGCTCCAGCAGCTCAGCTGGCACAGTTAACTCCAGCCCCTTTGCAAGCACTGTTGAGCCCAGCACTGGACGATCCATCTGTACCAGAGGGGCAGCATGGTACAGGCACTTTGGCGGTGCCACCCATGCCGGAGGCTTTTGCTGAGGCTAGAGACTTACTCTCGCTATTGGTGCTGATGTCACTGGTAGTACAACAGTCAGTGGTGTCTGTACCAGGGTGCAGAAGAGACTGTGGCTATTGTTTGCAGCTTGATACCGAGGCCCTCGGTACCCTCTAAAGGGAAACTGGCCATGATGGCCCCGTCCTGATTTTCTCCATGCTGGCACTGGTGGGAACCGCTCCTTCGTGGTCTCTGCACAGAGACTCCTTCTCAGAGTCCGAGGTGGGGTCATATGTCTCCTGCTCCAGGAGCCAGCCCCGGTATGTAGGTCATCACTACCTGGTGATGGGCCAGGACATGCTTTCGACTGCTTGGCCTTCTAGCCAGTAGCAGGTGCCTGTGCAGTGGCCCTTCTGGAACCCATGGGCATTTTCCCCAATGCAGGGTCCTTGCTCAGGCGCTTGTTTTGTTGGCCTCTGAGGGAAGAGTGCTGCCGCTTGTTTAATCAGAGCCCAATCCAGGGGTTCCTGAGGCTGGTGCTGAGTACCAGGAGCCAACGCCACAGGACCTGACCTGTGCTGAAGGCTAGGATCAGTGCCTCCTGCTAGTTCAGGCCGCTTCCTCATCTTCTTCCCCTGATGAGGCCGTGGCAGGAGCAGACTTATCGCCCTCCCACAACAACTGAGGCCCATCAGGAGAGTCACAAAAGAGTGGCTCAAAACCTGGGCATTCAGGCGGAGGAGGTTAAACAGTCCTCTTACTCTTTGGTGGAGATCTTGACTGCCGCGGGCCTGTCAAGAATGGTCCTTCCTCTCAGCAAGGCCATCATGGACCCAATAAAGGCCCTGTGGCAGACCCCGGCATGCCTACCTCCCATGGCCAAGAAGGCCGAGAAGTAGTATTTTGTCCCAGCTCAGGGATATGAATTTTTGTATGCCCATTTCCCTACCCCCCCCCCCACCCTTCGCTCCCCGGCATGCTTGTTGGTCTCTGCTGCCAGTGAGCAAGAGCAGCAGGGGCTAGAAGGGGGGACCCCCAAAGCAAAGGAGTAGACCTGTTTGGGAGGAGGGTCTACTCGACTGGGGATTTGCAGCTCAGGATCACTAACCAACAAGAGTTCCTGAGAAGATTTGACTTTAACACATGGGACTCTGTGTTAAAGTTTAAAGATTCATTGCCCAAAGAAGCCAGAAGGGAGTTCTCTTTGGTTGAGGAGGGGAAATTGATAGCAAGGACTTCCCTGCAAACCATCCTGGATGCTGTGGATTTGGCTGCCTGGTTCATGGCCTATGCAGAGGTCATGCATAGGAGTTCTTGGCTCCGATCCTTGGGCCTCCCACATGAGGTTCAGGAGAGCCTCCAGGACCATCCCTTTGAGGGCACTTAGCTCTTCTCAGAGCAGACAGACTCCAAGCTCCATGGCCTCAAGGATTCCAGGGCTACTCTGAAGTCCCTGGGCTTATACACCTTGGTGACTTCGAGAAAGCATTATAAGCCCCAGCAATCCTCCTGATCCTTCCTTAGTCCTGCCGAGCTGGTGGATCAGAGGAAGGAGGAGTAAGGGCTTCAGGTATAGGCCTTCACCCATGCCATCCTCGACATCAATGCCTGTTCCTCCCACACATTTGGGATACTCTAAGCAGGCATTTTGATGGGGTGCTCAAGGATACCTTACCCATGTTAGAAATCTCGGATCCAGCTTACCCTTTGTTTTGCAGACCACTTGTCCCACTTCCTCTGGGTATGGTCCCATATTGGACCGTTGGGTTCCGAGCATGGTGGAAGTGAGAGATACCATCCAGTTCAGTTCTTACACCCCCATCCTCCCTGGTCCCTCTTCAGGGACCCCTCTGATGAGAAACTTCTGGCCCAGGAGGTACAGTCACTCCTATGGGTGTGAGCCGTGGAAAAGGATCCATGGAATCTAAGGGGTTGGGGTTCTGTTCCCATTATTTCCTAATCCCAAAAGCCAAGGGAGGTCTCAGACCTATCTTCAAGCTGTGCCATCTTAAGTTACCTCAAGAAGCTGAAGTTCTGCATGGTCTCCTGGGCTTCCATCATCCCCTCCCTGGGTCCAGGGGACAGGTATGCCCCCCTCGATTTGAGAGACGCTTATTTTCACATCTTGATTTTTCAGGGACACAGAAGGTTCCTCAGATTTGTCATGGATCACATGCAATACTAATTCGCCATTCTCCCCTTCGCCCTGTCGGCTGCCCCATGAGTATTTACAAAGTGCATGGCAGTTGTAGTGGCCTTCTTGAGGAGGCAAGGGGCTGGTCAGAGAACAGACCAGGGCTCAAGTGGAGTCCAGCATACAACTCATCCAGTCGACCTTCCGGGACATGGGTTTACTTATAAATATGCAGAAATCTACCCCTACTCTGGTTCCGAGGATAGAATTTATCGGGGCAGTGCTCGACTCTGTCCAAGCCAGAGCCTTTCTCCCAGAAGGGTGCTCTCAAGTAATTATGGTGCTCATAATCTACTTCAAGGATCACCTGATGACGATGGCTAGGAGTTGCCTGAGACTCTTGAGTCATACGGCTGCATGTACTTATTTAGTGCAGTACCTGAGGCTACACTTTAGACTACTCCAGGCATCGCTGGTTTCAGTGTAGCTACCAAACTGCCACCATGTGGACGTGGTCCTTATGATTCTTTCCCCGGTTCTTGCCTTACTCAATTGGTGGCAGGACCCAATGAGAGTTTGTGGGGGCATCCTGTTCTCACAGGATGACCCATCCATGGAAGAGGTTCAACAAGGACAAGTGCAGAGTCCTGCAGTTAGGATGGAAGAATCCCATTCACTGTTACAGACTAGGGACTGAATGGCTAGGAAGCAGTTCTGCAGAAAAGGACCTAGGGGTTACAGTGGATGAGAAGCTGGATATGAGTCAACAGTGTGCCCTTGTTGCCAAGAAGGCCAACGGCATTTTGGGCTGTATAAGTAGGGGCATTGCCAGGAGATCGAGGGACGTGATCATTCCCCTCTATTCGACATTGGTGAGGCCTCATCTGGAGTACTGTGTCCAGTTTTGGGCCCCACACTACAAGAAGGATGTGGAAAAATTGGAAAGAGTCCAGTGGAGGGCAACAAAAATGATTAGGGGTCTGGAGCACATGACTTATGAGGAGAGGCTGAAGGAACTGGGATTGTTTAGTCTGCAGAAGAGAAG